GACAATTTGTTGAAAACACGAAAAAGAAAAACAGTCGTAGATATACCAGTGAAACAGCAGAATATCTTGGCCAGAGCTGAATGAGCCTTACCTGTGGTCTCCAACTTTAGCTCTTTAGAGGTGTTGCGGCTGAAACAAAAAGAGAAGAAGAAAGTTTTCTTTAAGGACGTGGAAAAAAGAAGAGGTAAACAACTCAAGGCAAGTAAAAAAGCAGTATTGAGCTGGTCTGAGCAAGTAACAACCATCTCAGGCTCATGCTCCCCGGAGAGCGAACTGCAGTCTACACCCAACATCATTACACGCTGCCCAACACTCAAACACAAGACCTGTGTTTTCAGCTGCTGTTTTGTAGAGGTGCCACAGAATGTGACATTTAACTGTGAGCAAGCAACACAACACAATACATGCAAACAAACACACGCACACACAGAACCGGTCTGAAGGAGCCGGATGAATGGAGATCCCTGGGTGCTCAGTTCAGTTCAGCTCAGTTGCCAAGGGTTGCAATCCCATGCCAGACAGACACGGCATGATTGGAATGAAAAATTCTATAACAATGACGTCAATGGAGAAAAAATAAATAAATAAAAATGACACTGGGAGAGAAGAATGTGTGTGTTATGTATATTCTCTTCTGTCTGCACGCAAACTTTTTCTTTTTTTTTTTGGCCTTTATAAACATCGGCCATGCAAAAGTCATATTGTAAAAGTCTGAACGCTTTGAATAGTGTTATTTTAGTATCACTGATATACTGTTTATGACTATTTATTTATAAGTTTTTAATTTTAATATCAGTATAATACATTAAAACATGATCAACACCAGATTTTGTCACCATATTTTACGTTTTGTCATGTTTTATAATACATTATAGTATTTAAAATATTAACAATGAATAAGTAGATATTATAATGTATTATAACGGTCATATTTTAATCCTTAGATACGGATTTTTGTCTTCATAAACACTGGTCATGCAAAAGTCGAAAGTCTGAATGCTTAGAATGCTATTTTAGCATCATCGATGCATTTTTTATAGTTTTTGTTAATATTTTGAATTAGATTTCACTTTGTTTTAATTTAAATTTTTAGTCATTTTTAATTTTTAGTTTTAGTGTTTGTTGTGAGTTTTTGTCATTTTTATCATTTTTTTTTAAATGTCCATATTTTTCTAGTTTCATTTTAGTTAAATTTTTTGAGTACTTTTTCATTGATTTTGTCATTTTTATTAGTTTTTGTTGCTTATATTTTTCTGTTTTAATTTGAGTAATTATTGTGTTTTTGTCTTTAAAAAAAAAAAAAAAAGTCCATATTTTTTATTTAGTTTAAATTTTAGTAATTTTATTAGTAGTGTCCATATTTTTCTATTTTCTTTTCCATTTTAGTTTTGTAGGACTGAAAGAACCTCAGACTCTCTCCCTGTACTTTGTGAGACTACATCCTTGTCAGTTTAATGTTTTATGCCAAAGACATATATTTCTCATTCGTATCTAAAATATTAAACTGAATAAAGCAGAATGAGAGCTGCTGACAGGACTTGACAAATAATATAAATGACATCTAAATAAAATTATGAAAGCAACACATGAGAGTAATGTCATAATATTTAGATGTTTATTGCCTACAGTGAAGGTGAAATAAAAAATACTGCTAGCAATGTGACAAATATTAAGATTCAGTCTAAGAAATTCAGTATGGCGAAGAAACACAAAATACATGTCTGTCTTTTACATGAACTTATAATATCAGCATGTACTGATGGATTTTAGAATGGATATACTGTACATGACATATATGTCCAAAAATCTCTTACACATACATAAACATACATATTTCTATAGGCTAGATATAGATGTGAATATAGGAAATTCAGTACTACAAATTAGTTCTGAATAAATACAAAAAAATAACACTAGAGTGTCATATTTGATATCTACCAGTGTTATTTTAGTATCATTAAGATATAATAAACATTTGCATTATTATTTTGAATTAGTTTTAAGATCTAGTTACAGATTTAGTCATTCATTTGTGTTTTTGTCATTTTTATTATTATTTTTAAAATATGTTGACATTTTTATTATTTTTTATTTCACTTTTATCAGTTTTAGTTGTTTCAGTACAAATTAAACTAAATGAAAATGAGAAATGTTGCCTTGTCAACTAGTTGAAATGAATTTTATTTATTTAATTTAATTTTATTTAATTTTTTAAATTTCATTCATTATTATTAACATATAACATATTTTTTTGTTTTGTTTTAATTAACTATAATGGCTCGGATCTTTTTCTCTCTTTTTACGGGGTTTTACCAGGTTGGATGTTTTAATGACGTTTATAAAATGCCAAAAGTTTGCATGCCAACAACTTCCTTTTATATTTTGCAATTAAACGAGGACATCTGGTGCATTAAGTATATGGGAAAAAATGTGATCCCATCATTTTTAGGACCATGCATTTACAACACACAGCATGTTTGCTGGACTCTCATTGAATCTCTGTGTGCCAAACATCAGATCTCGAGGTAAAACACCTGAAAACATTCATTCCCACGCATCAGCGGAGAGTTAGAATGACTCGTTAAGAGTGAAATGAGAAAGTGCTGATGCTAAAGCGGGATGAGGGAATCCCAGCCTGTCAACACGCCACGTCACGTGTCACGAGATATTCATGGGAGCACACACACACACACACACACACACACACACGCGCACTCACTCACGCGCACTCACACACAC